ACAGGGTGTCTCAAAATTAGTGTCCAATAATTTACCACTTGATTATATTGCGAAAAATAAGAATATTTTTTCAAATAAACATGGGTCGAGAGATGTTTCCTAAGGGAGCTACACCCCCTAAATAGGGCCTCAAAAAAAATTTTTTTTTTAATATTTTCGAAACGGGTTGAAGGAAAATTATGAATGTTGATACCATGAACGCTCTTAAAAGTCGAAATAGATTATCATAAAATTTTTCAAAAATTTTAATCATCTCAATTGGGGGGGGGTCGTCGGCTAAAGTTTGCCCCTATTGCTTTTGTTTGCCGAAATTTTCAAATTCTGATCAAAACAACATCACCATTTTTCATAGAAAACTCAGATCAATCAAATTTTATAGCAACAAATGCAACATGCAAAAATTCGATTCTCCCCCTCCCCTTGCTCGGGACGGCCCATAACAAAGTTTTCTAAGCACTTTTCACGTTGTTTATTACAATGTATATTCATATGATGACATATGAAAATTCATAATGGTACATGTGCCCATTTTAGCCATTCAAGACAAATTTTTTGAATTTTATTAAGGTAACGTAATGAATTGCTTAAATTCGTTTTTCTCGGAAATGGAGCATTTTATCCAAAGAACTAAAGAGTACCTCTTTTGTAAAGGAAATGAATATCTATCATATGTTGGCATGAAAACATGAACTTGAAAATTTCGACAAGTAAAAAAATAGAGGCAAATTTTAGCCGACGATTAAAATTTTATGACGATCTTTTAATGAGCGTCAATTATGTCAAAATTTATAATTTTCCTTGAACCCGTTTCGAAAATATTAAAAAAAATGAATTTTTTGAGGCCCCCATTTAGGGAGCGTAGATCCCTTAGGAAGCATCTCTCGACCCATGTTTATTTGAAAACATATTCTTATTTTTGGCTATATAATCAAGTGATAAATTATTGGACACTAATTATGAGACACTCTGTATATAAGGAAGCTCTACATTTGATTTAATATTTTATCAAAAATGTAAATTAAAATGTTAAGCAATACAACGCATGCTCGTTAATCTTCCGCCACGTTTTTTTGAATACCACGAAAATAAAAAGCTTTATTAGGCCGACATGCAGGTTTGCTAAAATAAACAATGTTTAGAAAAAAATACACACGCTTACGCTGGAAGTATGGCTCTCGTAATAGTATAAGTAAAATTTTCATATTTTTTATTTCAAAGTGTATAATGTTTAGTTTTCTTATTACTGAATGTTAAGTTTCAATAAAATATATGTTTGCTTATATTTATTTTCTTACAAATCTATTTACAGAGCCACTAAACATGCGTGCAATGTAGGAATAATATATCATTCTCCGTCCCTTGCGCGTTTGCAAGCCTGAACCCATCTCGCTTGCACTCACAGACTGCTACGATGTTTACGACGGAGACGGAACCCTTTTATTGGCTGTAATTAAGAAACGCCGACGAAAAACCGACTTTTTTGTCTGTCATTTCACTTTTGTGGTCAAATTGTATTCCTAAAGCCGAATTTCATAGTCTGCAGGTGGTACAAATCAAGGAGTTTTTGGAAAAAAAAACAAGTTTGAGTAGCCGCCTCCGGCCAAACGTAGCGATATTTGTTCACTTTAAACCTATTTCAACATTAATGTGCTTATCTTTTGGTACAAATGATGGGAAAAAATCACGCCAGCTCTTAGGCTATAAGTATTTAGTCCAAGCATTATAGAGAAATGCTTACAGAAATTATTACCTGGACAAAAAAATATGACCGTATAGAAAATTAAATTTTAAATCGAGTTTCTTGTTCTTTAAACTCGATCCAAAATGGCGAACATGGTTAAAAAAATCGCAAAGTTGCAAAAAAATGTTTTTTCTAAAATAACTAAAAAAATAATATAAAATATATCATTTCAACTGATGAGAATTTTATATAAATTTTTTGAAATCATTTAATACTAATATAGTAAATGTAAGATATTTACTAAATTTTTAATTATATATTATTGTATTTTAATACATTTTTTATTTTCAGTTGACTTGGGCTGATCTCTTTTTCGTCTCCATGTTGGATTATATCAGTTTAATGGCGAAGAAGGACATAATTGGGGGTTCTCCCAATTTACAAATTGTCAGAGAAAATGTTTTAAAGATTCCCAGCATCAAGGCTTGGATAGAAAAGCGACCCAAAGAAAATTTATAAACATATCCCTATATTTGTATTTTTATATTTACATTTTGAATTTCTATGATTATTTAAATAATAAAAAAATATTAAAATAAGAGTATATTTTGTACAAGATGTACAAGATGAATTTAAAGTGGAGTTTGGGTAATCTTTTTTATAAAACCAGTATTTATTCGTAAGTCCCATTCGTAAGTCGTAACTTTTGAATTTTGGTTAATACTTAATTATTTTTTTAACAAAAATCTTTTGCGTAACATTTCTCTTCTGGGATGTAAAGGCGATTCAGTAAAAGTGGGCTTAATGCCTCCTTGAGGTAAGTCCTACTTTTGGAAAACCAATATGGCACGTTGTCGTATGCACTTGTTACATCTAAAAATTCTACACTGATTGACTAAATTTTAAAAAAAGCCTATTTGGATGTCTGAGACTAGGTTTGCTAAAATATCCTGGATTAAAAAGCCTTTCCTGAAATCAAACGGTGACTTTGGTAATAAACTTTTGCTTTCGAGACAATTTTTCAATCTGCTTTTTTATTCGCTCATAGGTTTTCAGTACGCATGAAGTAGGAGTTAGAATTGTTGACTGATTTAGGTTTTAGAATCGGTATAGCAATGTAATCATGCCAGTCCTTAGGGATATGTGTCTTTCTTGGGTATATGTCGTTGAATATGCTTAAAAGTATGTCTTTAACTCACCCAGGTAACTGAAGTAGCCTTGCGTAATGTATTTGGTCTTTGGCTGCCGCTGTATTGCTGATTTGTTTTATTACTTTATTTAATCCCGAATATGGAGCTTGATGAGATACACATGAACGAGTTAATTTGTTAAAAAAATGTACTATGAATGTAAAATCTTTTTTTTTTGTTGCTTTTTGCTAATGCCTTAAGCCTATGAATCTGCCATAACTCGACGAATGCACCAAGGTTTAGTAGGCACATCTTTCTCTGAATATTTTCATCGACATGTTCATTTCGTCTTTTTCTCTTGAAAATAAACAAAATAACTATTAATAAACGACAATATATACGTCATCGCAATGTCAGTCAAGTGAATGATTGTAAGGATTTTGTATAGGTATATTATATATGTATTTTAATCTTCACTATGAATTTGTGTTCATCTATGTTGTGGCTTTATTAACTTTCCTAAAGTTTATTAAAGGAGAAGAAATCTTTACAAACCTACAAATGGCTGAGAAAAATACTTTAGAAATACTAGACTTAGATAGAAAGCTCAAAATGCTTCTTGGAAAGCGTAGTTATTTTTAGAGGGCGCCAGATTCAAAATTACTCCTTAACTAATTTTATGTAAGTAGATTTCTACATGTCAACTCAGTCCTGTTATACACCAACAGAAATTTTCATCCAGTAGATGGCAGCACTATTGATTTATGTTATAACGCTTTAAATAAGCGGAAAGATTTAGATGGACAAGAAAATATAACAATTTATTAATTAAACTGATCAATTTGTATCAATGAACTAGAAATTCATAATACATACACTGAACAAATATTTATCACAGTGTCTATTAATAAGGTTTTTTTGTTTTTATTTTAATAATATGAGAGTCAACTGTAAAAGTAGCGGGGTGTTCTTAAAATAGATATTGGGTTTAATTTAACTAAAGCAAATGATTTCATTTTATTCAGAACATATTTTAAACTGCGAACATCCATGTTTCATCAATTTATTTTCTTTCAAGGTTATTTATAAGAAATAATCCTTGTTATGATTAATATTTTATTTTGTTTATTTTAAGGTAATACAAAACAGCCATTGTTTTATTGCCCTTTCTTTCAAAATGTAATGGGAAAAATACATTGAAAATGATTTCGTTCGTCAGTTATTTTAAAATTAAATGTTTATATGTTAATATCAATTTTGTATGAGAAAATTTAAAACCAGTAGCGTTAATGACATTATTTTAGAAGATACAAATTTTTTTTAACCAAAAAATATTAATCGGTATACGTATAGCAATGATGTACCTTTAGGGGTCATACAATATGTCAATATTATTTCCTGTAAAAGTAAGTATATTATGTAAAATATCAATTTTTTTCAGGTTTTTACACAAGATATTTTTTTTTTTCGTTCCATATAAGTATTTCGATATTCTAGTAGGTATATTGTTTGTGGGCATTTTTACAGAACGAAGGAAACGATATTTTTAATACACAGTACATTGCAACTCGAAACAATTATTATTTATTCAGCGAATTTCCATGAATATCTTAATTTTAAAAAATAATATATTAATATTTTCTTCTTATAAATCAAAATTCTGGTGCTTTTATCCATCAATAACCCTAAAATGCCCTAGTAAATGAAATATACTATTCTGTACTTGTTAGTAGATGTCACATTTTGACATTTGATGTTATTCCAGCGGTCTTCTCCTGTTCTTGAATTTCTAACGGTTTTCATGTACCTAATTATTTTATTAGTCATCACTAACACATTTAATACAAATCTTATTTAATTGTTATCAAACACTTGATTTATTTAATTGTACCTACTTGAAAAAAGGCATATAGAATAACCTTGGCCTTTTGACCCACATTTTGTCAATATTATTTAATATATAAAATCAGAATTCGGAAGAAATACTTTCCAGATTAATTTTCACATTTCATTCATCATTGCTCCTGTACCATATTCTGTTTTTACAGAGTATTGAACAGGGAATTATTGACCAAGGCCGCTTGCAGTAACGTTCATAAGTATTCTCTGGTGATCTGTCCTTTTCCCTACCATGCTTCTCTCTCTCCCACTGAACTAAACAGGATGCCTCCACTCGTAGCCCATGCCCCATGCCTTTATTACTAAACTTAACTGCAAATAGTTCCATTATTTTTACATCGGCGGTGTTGGTGTTAGGAAGTGCTGCAGGAAGCAGAAATTGTATCTGAATTAAGTAGTGTGAATTACAGCCGGTAAGGTAAGACATTGTTTTGATGTGTACTAGGCGAGAAATCGATAATTATTTAACTTTTTATTCAGTAATAATTTTTACTTGTACGTATTTTATTCCATTGTTACATTGATTTCATCAGGAAAAAATGATGAACAGTGTTTCATGATTGCTGTGAAAGTTTTTAGAAACAAAATGCTTGAAATATGCCGGCCATATTTTCTCAACCTGTTGGTCAGGAAAGCCGGTCATCATTTTTGTGCCAAATGAAAAATATATTCGGTTTTCTATCATCTATAACTATTTGTAATTAGTTAATACATTGCCAGTAACAATTTTTATAATCCCTGTACGAATCGATTACACCTGGGATTTTAAAATGTATGTGACATCATATAACATATCTTCAGCAAAATTGTCTTTATTTACGATTTGATGTATTCACAAACTTTGATATAACTGCTACTATTTATATTGTTTTTAATTTTTACAACAAAAAATGTTGTATTCCGTTTTTTTTATAATTTTATGTTTTTTTAGGAAATAAGTTCAATGCCAACTAAATATAAGTATCTAGGAATATAATTTTTCAAATGAAATGGTACCTAATTGTTTTGTGTATTGAAATATTATTAAAAGTGGTGATTAAAAAAAACTGTTCCACTTAGATTTCAACAGCATTCTATTTGAGTTATTTCCCATTCATGACAAAATCGCTAGTTTTTTCGAAAAATTCATGAAGATCAAAAAAAGTCATAAACATGATTAAAAAAATTAAATTTTAACCCTTTATGTCTATTTTGCACGAAAGAGGGTTTAGTATTATACAACATCAAGCAAAAAATATTTTTTACTGTTTGAAATTAATAATATGTACCCATATGAGTAACTAAATAAGAGGGTTTATTTCCTTATCTTTCATTGGCAGCATCACTTGCTTCAGACGCAACTGGCGCCATCTTACACCCGGCCTGTGAACAAATAGCAGCTGCAACACAAAACAGAAACTGCAATGACCGTGCTAGCCGTCTTTGGTTTGAAAATGTAGTTCCAAAAATTATGAAATAGATGTCGCTTTATTACGCTGCACTTGGCGGCAAATTTAAATATACCATAATATTCACAGTGCAACTTGTATGTGGACTAAAATTCATAATCATTGACTACAAAGTTTTGTAAAAAAATATCAGTTCTAATGTAAAAATTGACCAGATTTTTTTACAAAATAATGTAGTCAATGATTTATGAATTTCATTTCATGTAAGTTACGCACAATAATGGTATAAAATATTGACTTTGTTAGTAGGTGTATCAATAAAGAGGCCACATCCATAGTAAAATAATATGCAATAGGTTGCTTCCAGTGCTTACTAATACCTTACACCAAAAACACTAAGGCCCAAATTCATAGATCTCACTAAAGTTCCACTCACACTTATCTCATACTAAACTCACCCTAATTGTATTCATAAACAATTCTAATTCAATGAGTCTTAAATCGTCCTCAAATCGCCCTCACAAATGAGTGCTAGATTAGTGACATGTTAGTGGTGTCTGACGTGTGCTTATATGTTCCTAATTTATTAATGTTGTGGTTTCATAATATTCTAGCAGTATATTTTACAAATAATTAAGTCCAGGTATTCTGTACGTGAACGCTATATAAATTATAATTATTTTTTAGAAATTATTTCTGTTACATACGTCATAAATGATTGCTTGTCACTCATTCTACTCTGTATGTAGTATATAGTAGGGAAAATGAACTAAATATTACTAACTGCTAACTAATTATTATTGGGATATAAGATGGATCGTTTTTACCTGGATAATTAATTAGAGATAATTAATTAGACCTTTTGATTTTCATTATTTATTATTTAAATGTAATTTATAAAGTATATATTTTCAACGTGAGTTATTCAAATTCAAAACAAAGAAATACTATGACATTAGGTTTCCACTGATGACATATTTTTGGTAATATTTGAGTTGCCAACTGTTCCCTTATCTAGTAATTTGTGGTATGATGCACACCCAAGTTAGTCACTCATTTATCCACATTTCTGAATACTAGAATTGAGAATGAGGTGAGGGCACCCTAAGTTGAGCGAAGCATAAGTTTGAAATGAGTGAAATGTTAGTATAGATTTAGGGAAGTCTCTGAATTTGGCCCTAAAGCGTGATTTGCTACCACATTTTGTCTACCCAGGGATCCAAGATCTACATATCCGATTGCTTGGTCTTTAGAAATATCATAACTTAAATTAGCAGACAATGCTATTTCATCGAATACTAAACAACAAACCCGATCTTTTGAATTCATTTTCTTTACACATTCTGATAATTTACATAAAAGTTTTTTATTGATTCCTACTGCTAAAGGTATTTGGCCTAAATATTTTCTTATGGAAGATTTAGAAGGTAGTACAAAAATTTTTTGTAAAAGTCGATAGCACCTAGGACCCCGTTTATAAATAGCTAAAGCAAGTTATTATAGGACGTTCCTTTTTGCAGTTAGTAATTTGTGATTCAATAAATTTTACTCCAATAGGATCGAGACGTTGAGATAAATCTGTGAATAACCATGAATAAGTGATATTACAAACATTGGACAAATTATTTCTACACTTTAATAATTTTATTTTTAATTTTTAAATCAGATTTTTTTGTTTACGGTCTAAATAATAAAACTTTTTATTTTTATCTGAAAGTTGAGACACTCTTTTTACATTGAGAGATTTAAAAGCGTTTTTTATTGTCTACTGTTTGACTTACAAGTGAAGTTTTAACAAAATGAATATTATGTGAAGTACTTACACAACCAGTATTTGAATCTACTTCATCCGGCATGGCGTCGTCAACAATAACAGTACTAGTACTTGCAGTGGTATTTAGAGATGGCAATTTGGAATAAGTGTATTTTGTTTTTTTTAATGGTGGTTCTGAAAAATCATCTAACATTGATGTTTGGCATTTATTAATTTCGGCATTTTCTAATGTTTCACTAACAAACTATTTAACTGACTCTAGAGTAGTTTTCAAGTAAATGTTACTATTAAGAGAATCTAAATGTGATGATATACTATTTGATTCACAAAATATTGTTGGCACTGCATTTTTGTTGAGGCTATTCTTCCTACTATTTCTAAAACATTTTAATTCAAAGTGGTCTTCGCAAAAATAACATTTTTCGTTAATGAAGTTAAAATCTGGTTTACATAATTTGCGAACTGATTCTATCCAAATCATTTCCCTGTCTGCAGTAACTCTGAAAAAGCTTTTATTTCTGTAAGAAGTATCTGTGGTATATAAATAATATGTATCCTTGCAGTTTGGTGCGCAACAGTGATGTGAGATCATTCCAAATATTTTCTATTAAAAAGTAAAACAAGCAAAAGCAGTAAGACAATTCAGATGAACTATTATATTCTTGCGTTACATTAAATTTTAGTCTAAAATAGAAAACAATTATTATCAAAAGCACTAGCGCGGTAACTTACGAGTTAATTAGTCATAATACAACATATAGAAGAAATAACCTCAAACCTAATCCACAGAACACATCCCCTTTGTGGCCTAATCTTCAATACACGTATTCTTTCGTATTGAACAAAGTGATTGAAATCAACAGTAAAAAACCAATCATGATTAAGAATTTAAAAAATGCTGTATTATGATTGGCTAGTTACCGATTGCAATCAGTTTGTTCAGCTTCCGCACGAAAGAATACATGTAATATCATCAAATTTTTAATTTTTCCAGCGAACTCTATAGGTTCTAATATCAATATTACTTTTCTGTTCAAGTTAGTATTACAGTTTTCGATACATAAATAGTGCTAACGATGGCAGAGTTTTCCAGGCCGATTGTGAGGTGGCGCTCGTACTTTCATGATTCTGCTCTGCCTATCCTTTTCACGAGTCTTATTTATTTAGTCATATGTATGTACCTAACTAGAATATAACTAGAAACAATGGTTCACTCGGTGTATTATTTTTTAAATATTAGTATTTATTTAGTAAATATTAATATTTTTTAAATATTAGTTACAAAAGTTAGAGAAACTTATGATTTCATATTTTATCCATGCGAAAAATATATCTAGACACTCTTACAAACCAGTGTAACTATAAAAATTTGAATAAACGTTGAGTTTAGGTAAGGGTTATGCGATTTGTTTTTTATGCTTATTCTAAGTTTTGTGCTTAGCTTGAATTTTAATTACTTTTACAATAAGTGTATATACAATTTATAAATTTTGTTGCATTCAAACTGTATTAGTATGAGAATTTGACACAATGGCACAATTGTAGCTGTTTCTTTTTGCATAACTGAAGATCGCCGTGACACACATTGTACGTATTCCAATAACTTCCAATGGGAATTAATTGTTCAAAATTATAAATGATCTAGTTCATTCTTTATATTGAGGAAAGCTTCAGACTCATTGGAAAACACACAGGTATTCATATTATTAATAAATGCTTTTTCTCTCGCCAATTTTAATCTTGATACCGTTTTTTTTTTTAAAAGGAACGAAACAATAAATTTTGGAATTAAATATAAAATCACTTTCTTGTTTTAGTTGAATATAAATTAAGACCGTCGGCAAAGGCTTGTTATATAGGGTGTCCCACTAAAGTCGGCGAGGTACCATATTAGAGAAAGTATAGGCCCTATCCTAGAGATTGGCTCATCAAAAGCCCATAGTGTTATACCTCGTTGGAAAGGTCTTTTCATGATTTATATCGTGGTGAATGCATAATGTTATTTACCTCAATATGGAAACTTATAGATGGCGTTATTTCAAAATAATGCCGTTTTATGGATTTTTCTCAAAAATTTTAAATACAATGCTACAGTTTTCTTTACGTAAATGAATTCGTCACAAAAAATTGATTAATATACTAGTAGTATAGTAAACCCACGCAAATGAGTGAGTCAATAACAATCTTGAAAATAATAACAAAAATAATAATAAACGGATGTTGATAACGAAAGAACAGTTAAATTTTAACAAAAGTAAATGTTTATAAATGCTCGAAATGCATACCATTATTTTCAATACAGGAATTTAACCTTCGCTGCGTGTTTAGATAGGTTCTTTTATAAATGTTAGGGACTTAGCTGCACAGCAAGAATAAAAGGCTCTCTCAACGGTACAAATATACTACTTTTATTGAAAACTAAGCTTGTGTAGAAAAAGTAATGTTGACGGTTTGAGGGTTTGCTGGAGAGTGTCCTGTGGTTGAAGTCGGTCTTAGGTAGCTTGGTAGTCGGTGGCAGAAGTCCCTGGTCCTGGCGCCACTCTGCAGGGGTCGGCTTCCGGGAACCCCGTGGTGCGTCCGGCGGCGTTCTTGACGTTGTGCTTAAAAATGGGTCACTTGCGAACATGTGTACCCACAAATGCATTTTGTTTTGGTAATTATATGTCTTTTCGTTAGCGTCATTTTCATTATTTATTTTCTGCTCACTAATTTGCGAATAACTTGATAACAAAAAAAGGTATCAAACCTTTTTTGGTGTCAAAATGTAGCTATTTTTATGCTTTTCAAACTAAATTATAAAAAGTTTTATCCTGCTATTTCACGTTTTTAAGAAAACGTGAAACCTAAACTTGGATAAATAGCCTAATAAATAAACGACACTTTCGCTAAAAATTTCAAACTTATACTACATTCATCAATTTGCTTAATTCATTTATGTCAAGAAAACTATAGCAATGTATTTAAAATTTTTGAGAAAATCCATAAAACAGCATTTTTTTGAAATAACGTCATCTATAGGTTTCCATGTTGAGGTAAATGACATTATGCATTCACCACGAGATAAAGCATGAAAAGGCTTTTCCAACGAGATATAACACTATGAGCTTTTGATAAGCAAATCCTTAAAATAATGCATTTTTCTGATCAGACATTAGGGGGAGATAGAACAAAATGTCAATAACAATCGGCTATCCATATTTGTACTATTTAATATACCTGAATAGAAAACATTTCTGAAAAAAATTCAACTCTATGTTTTGGTATGTAGATTGCGCCCCCTAATGGTCGAGCTACGAACTTGAAAATTATTTCCAGCGATTTCTCCTGGTCGATTTATTAATCAAAAATTTTTTTCCTTTCTCTAATATCGTACCTCGTCGACCTTAGTGGGACAACATATTAGACCGGGAGATATTAGACTGAAGTTCGACGACGTCTTTCTCGTTTATGCCTCTGAGAGTACTGAAAGGTAACCGAGAGACAAGTACAATAAACTTTCACCTTTGTGAAAATAAAATTTTCCTTTTCAAAAAATAATGTGTACAGCGACGTATTTCTCACTTATGCCATGTTCGTAAGTTGAAGAGAAGTATCGATTTTATCACAAGGGACCTAAAAATGGAAAACTTTGTAAGAAAATCATTTTGTATCATTTATCAAACGAATAAGATTGTGTATTAATGTAAACGAGGGTCATATTGAGAATTTAATGTAGCCACCTGAATGTAATTAAATTATTATTAAAAATAATCTTTAGTTTTTTACGTAAGTAACTACAAACTTTTATTTTATTTCATTTTATTGCATCCAATAGAAGAACAAGAAATAAATCGAAAACGGTTAAATTTATCGACATAAAGCAAGTATCCCTTATTTGTGAAAAATAGATAGGAGAACAATATTTTTCTATTAAAACTTTCGTACACACACTGATAAAAAAGTTATAACCAGTTTTTATCAACCAAGAGTACATTTAGTAGCGCCCTCTACCGTCTACAGCAAAAATAAGTACGGATTCGTTTTTCTCGTCCCAGAAAACCTCCTAATCCAAATTGGAAATCTAGAGTGTGTTTGTCACTATTACCACAGATATTACTCTAAAGAATTGTCAGTGTTAGATATATTAAAAAAGTTGCCAATATGAGTACTATCAGCAAGATTAATGTCGATGCAGGTTTAATATGTCTTTTTAATTTTATATCAAATAAAAATATTTAATTTTCCATTTCAGAAATGGCGCCAGCCTACAAGGTTACTTATTTTGACATCACTGCCCTTGGAGAACCTATCAGGTTTCTTCTGAGTTATGGAGGGATTGAATTCGAAGATAATCGTATTAACAAAGAAAACTGGCCTGCCTTAAAACCATGTAAGTATTTATAAGTACTAATGCTGCAACACCCATTGCCATTTTCTAGATCGGGTTACAAAAATAGGAAGCAGAAGTTGTAATTTATGTACCACATCTTTGATTCTGTAATACAGTACAGGTTGACATTTTTTCAATAGCATCAATTAGGACCTAGTTTCCTAAAGTCAGTTATAGATGGCGTTGTAGTCAAAATGGGAACCTTTGCAAAATATATTTTTTATTAAATGATTTGAAAAGTTAATAGCTTTTGAGATATAGCACAATCAAACTAAAGACACTTGGAACTCATAAAAATAAATTAAGTTTTAATGTTCCAAAAACAAAACTGAAACGAAAATGTTTAGAGAAGATTGAAAGTCAGAATAAAACATATTATATTCTTTGTATTAAACGTCAATCTTATTTAATGGTAAATATTCAACCTATAATATAACTTAATAAATGCAACCATTGAAAATTTGTGATTCAATGGTTGCAAGATTCTCAAATCTGATAGTTTTACTAACTTAATTTTGTGCTTTTAAAATTATTGCGATTTCCGATCATTTTTAAGTTCATTTGATAATGAAATATAATAATCTACAAAGCAAGTGTCATATCTTTAAATATAATTTCTACTTTATATTTACTAGTATGTACATTTGACTGACAGAAAGTGGCCTACATATAACATATGCTTTGTAGGTTATATTACAAATACTCAGCATCCAAATAGCTAAATCATTCGTCGGTCGTCTCACCTAAGGCATACTGACGAGAACTAACAAGATTGAAACCGGTCTATATCCTGATTCTCTAATCAGAATGATAGATATTGCGGATGTAGGTCAATGTCAGCCGCATGAAACCCGTAGAGTAGTTGTTTCCCATAATATTATTAGATAAAAATTGATCCTAGAAACTATTGAATTTTTGGTTTTTATATTTAGGGGACAATATGTTTAATGTAAAATACAGGGTTATCCATTTTGAGCTTGGGATAGTAAAGCCCTGCCAATTGATAATTGTCAAATGTCACTATCATCCAGACTGGTATTTGTTTAGTTAAAGGTTTGCCATTTCACAATATGGAACGTTTTTCGACCGAACAACGCGTTAAAATTATTAAATTATGCTACGAAAATGGTAGATCTTCGGTGGCTGTATTTCGCGCATTACGATCGGATTATGATTGACATAATCGTCCATTCCAGCAAACAACCACCAATACAGTGAGAAAATTTCAAGAGACTGGATCGGTAACAGACATCGTAAGACCTGTGCATCATCGTTTGCCCGTTCAATCGAAAACATAGCCGCTGTGAGTGAAAGTGTTAACGATAACCCGAATCTTTTGACTCCAAGTCGAGCTCAGCATTTGGGCATGTCATACGGCTCATTGTGGCGCATTTTGCATTTGGACTTGCATCTTCATCCGTATAAAGTCCAACTCCCGTAAGAACTCAAGCCGGCTGACCATAGATTGCGCCGTGAGTACACCAATTGGGTGCTAGAACAACAGACCACCGATCCTGATTTTTCGAGGAAAATCTTCTTTAGTGATGAGGCCCATTTCACGCTCGGCTGCTATGTTTATAAGCAAAATTTCCAAATCTCGGGTAGTGAGCAGTCACAAGTGACCGCTAAGAGACCATTGGACCCGCAGAAAGTGACTGTTTGGTGTGCATTGTGGGCCTGCGGCGTCAGGCAAGGAGCCACCGTTACCGTCAATTCTCAGCGGTATGCCGCCATGATCATCGACTTTTTTTGGCCTGAAATTGAAGATTTTGATGTGGACGATATGTGGTTTCAACAAAATAGGTCCACATGCCACACAACGCAGCCAGTTATGGCTCTTATTGCGCGAGAAATTCCCAGTACGCGTAATTTCGAAATTCGGCGATGTGGCTTGGCCACCAAAATCCTACGACTTAACGATTTTGGATTTTTTTGTGAGGCTATGCGAAAGACCGTGGTTGTGCGAACAATCCCACAACTTTGGAGTAATTGAAGGACGAGATACGTCAAGTTATGGCCGAATTATTGCCCGAATTCTGTGAAAAAGTCTTCGAAAATTACCTCAAAAAAATTGAGTCGTGCAAACGGTTCCGTGGAAGACATTTGAATGATATTGTTTTTCACGCATAATGGCATAGTCCAAACTTTATTATGAAATAAAAGTTCCATCGAAATTTAAATATTCAATGTTTTTTTAAACTTTACTTTCCCAAGGAGAAAATGGATAACCCGTTATTATGCGGCAAAATAACTTTCCCAAAGTCGCCTTTTCTTTAATTATTATTATTGGTGTGATCTAGGAATTCTATCAATTGGCTTTTATAATAATTATCAAAAAATATATTTCCATTTTCAAGTCGTCGGGTCGAGTAGTTTTATGTAATTCACCTTGTATACACTATACAGTTTTATATCTTTTTAAAACTTTCTATAACAAAAAATATAAAATACGTACTGGGTGTTCCAAAAAATTGATCCACATCTGAAACGGGCAATTTTTCCCCTTTTCACTTTTAACTTTGTTTTTATTTACTAAAATCTTTTAATGAAAAATTGTATATTTATTAATCGGATGTCTTTTTGAATCTTTATACTGGATGTTCCACGAAACTGATCCAATTACCAACAGAACGAAACTTTCCTTAGGTATATTTTTTTCCATTTCTACAGTTTGTACTGAAGTCTGCAATATTTTTATGAAATATCTTATACCCTATCAACCAGGTGATTTTTGCAATTTCTGTATTTCATAAAACTGACACAGGTGGACCAGATTTTCTCTGATTCCTTTTGTTAATTTTTTTCATGAAACCTTTTGAAGAAAAGTTGTATATTTACTGACCAGCCACTTTTTAAAAAATCCATATACGTACTGGGTGTTCCAAAAAATTGATCCACATCTGAAACGGGCAATTTTTCTTCTTTTCCCTTTTAACTTTGTTTTTATTTACTAAAATCTTTTAATGAAAAATTGTATATTTATTAACTGGATGTCTTTTTGAATCTTTATACTGGATGTTCCACAAAACTGATCCAATTACCAACAGAACGAAACTTCCCTTATGTATATTTTTTTCCATTTCTACAGTTTGTACTGAAGTCTGCAATATTTTTATGAAATATCGTATACCCTATCAACCAGGTGTTTTTTGCAATTTATGTACAGGATGTTTCGTAAAACTTACACAGGTGGACTAGATTTTTCCTTATTCATTTTTTTAATTTTTTCTTTAAATCTTTTGAAGAAAAGTCGCTTTTTTAAAAATCCATATACTAGATGTTCATAGAATTAAGGGCAGTTTTGTTTCTTTTCACTTTTAGCTTTGACTTTATTTACTACAGTCTTTTAATGAAAATTTGTATATTTATCAAGCAGATGTCTTAATTTATTTTTTTACCATTTCTGCCTTACCTACGTAGTCTTTGGATGGAAAATTTTATATTTACTAACCAGATGCCTTTTTTAGAAGTTTGGAAGAAACTTTTCTTATTCTTTTCTCGAGCGGGGCCTACTCTTTTTTGAAAAACATTCTCATCTTACTTTTATATATAGGGTGTTTAAAAATCAAAGTACACGGTATTTTAAAAAATGTTATATCTACTAACCAGCGAGGAAAGTACCGCGGAGCGGTGCTCGAGCCGCGCGCAGCGCGGCCCGAGGTCCGAAGGCCCGAGAGAAAGGTCAAACTCCGCGTCAGCGGAGTTTGCCTGCTTTTCCAGTTTATATCATTATTTTATAACTGACATGTAACTATAGCTAACACGCCCTGTTCTATATGCATCCCAACTAATCTTGCCGAGATGCATCGTCTGTTGCTTGACAGTCTCAAGGACTCTTTAAATAGTCCACATTGTCAATATTTTATATTAAGATCATTAAGGTCGTATATTAACTTATACCAGATAGATTTTATAGACCGTATATAGTATGTTCACAGTTAGAGTTGATGTGATTTTTGTTTTTAAATACGCTTGATATAAAGTTTCATTTTTTCAAGATTTTAATCCAACAAGACGAATATACTTTCCCAAAGGATTTTGGTCAAAACATGTATGATCCCTACGTTCGGGTGCCGATGAATTTAGGTTTGTGGTGCTGTGTTGTCAGTAGGTAGATTAAAAAATCCAGAAATAAGTCAAACTACTAAATTTCAACATGTGATTTCGCAAACACAAGTGCGTTTTAAAGAATAAGTATAGTACTTTAATACCCCATTAATGGTTTTAGCAAAAAAATTACCTATCCATGTAACATAACCTCAAATATGTGAAAAAAATTGACTTGATTTTGGCACTTTTAGGTTAAGAAACCTCGGAAACCAGAGCCAATTGACAAATTTGGACCTCGAATTCGAATTCAGCGCACCAACATCCTTCGGCAAAATACATTTCGGTTTCTGGGTTAGCGAGACGGCCAAATTTTGTCGGACTGTGTTTTAAGCTTGCATGTACCTACAGGGTATTTAAGAAATGAAAAAAGGGGAATATCCTTATTTTTTTATCTACACATAAATATGCTACTAAAGAAAATTGCTTAAATTTAAAAATTATGGTAGAATCTCCATTTTGTGAATAAATTGTCTTTCTTCTATTGCCCTGAAATGTAAAATAAAAACCGCTAAGCAAAATAAATTGAATGGTAAAAATTGTCAAAAAAATTCATTCAGTAGGTACAAAAATTGAAGCACAACACAATAAGGGCAGTTTACTTCGTCTTTATTTTTTTAAATATAAACCCTTTTGCACCATTAGATTCCTGATTTTTTTTTTTTTTGAGTTCAATCATGTGTCACATAGTGCTGTTTATTGATGTTTTGGACTGAAAGAGATTATCAGTGTTATTTTTTCTTTAACGATTGTGGTACATTGGCAAGTTAACAAAAAACAACGGAGTTACAGATTGTCAAAGTTGACGGCCCATTGTTAAACAAATTAGGTTGATAGCGGCGTATACATTTTACAACTAAGGCTAAAAAATAAAAATACTTTCCAGGTTGCAAATTTGAAATAAAAAAAAAAAATTATAGATTTCAATGTATTATTATGAAATCTACCATGAAAAAAATCAGTGCGATTGTGGAAGATGCTCGGGATCATCTAGACTAATAATTAGTTAATTTATTTATAAGGCTATAACTTGTAAACTATTCAACTTACCGATTCTAGATTTCGTGTGAATTATTAGACAGTGATAAGGAATGAGAGGATGCGATGCCAAAATGTTCTGGTAATAATAAATAAACTTCTTCTGTTTATAACTTTTGATCTAAACAATATTTTTTGACGCTCGAGGGCTAGTTTTGTAGATCTTTTGAAGACGAAAAAAAAGTACTTTACGTTTTCTCGTGGAAATGAATGGAAAACGTGAATTTACGTAAAAATTATACAATTAAACAGCTTGTAAGCAATCTCCCCCCCATTTTTATGACTGTGGAAACTAATATGTTATTTTGTACATAATATTTTGCATCTACAGTAATAAATTCAGCTTGCCGAAACAAAAAGTCGCGAAATGGTCATTTCCCAGATCTTTTTCCTGACCTAATTAAGCAAACACAGCATTCTGCTTATCGAAAAATATAACTAAAGTAATTCATAAAATACTAGTGCTTATGATGTAAATTATTTGCTAAAATGTATTCATAGAAGAAATCGGAACTTTTATAAAAACTAATCCATAGATTTTAAAAGAATATTTTACTATGTACACGGTTAATAGATATCTCAAATAAGATTTAAGTATTTGATGAATATCCGTAATACCATCTAAAATTTTCGTTGTTCAGGCTGAAGTGTCACGTTTGATGTATCCCCTTCAAAACAAAAATTAATTTGTTCCACTGATTGAAAAACTTACTTTGGAAAGAATAATGTAGTGTTTTTCTTGCAAAATGATGCAGTGAAATTAACTTCAATTAAATTAAATTAAAAGTTTATAGTCCAGAAGAGAAATACATATTGGCATGACTATTGCTTGACGTAGTTTAGATATTAGGGAAAAACATACCAAATTAAATTATTGTTATTGTTACATTATGCATAGTTTTGCAGCTAACGCTTGTTGACTTTTACACTCGATATCTCGGAACTTAACAACCGATTTGAACGTTTTTTTTTAAGTTAAGCATCTTACCAAGAAATGTATTTTAGTTCTTTGATATATTTTCCAACCCGCAAAACCGCTTCAGTGAAAGTATTTGTTTATAAAGTCAAAATTTTTCGAACTTCAAAAATTATTAAAAAAAAAAAGAAAACTGATATTATAACGATTGTATGATAGTTAAGGGGTCCAAGTATGTGTAGAAAAATAAGCCCCAATTAAAATGCTTAACTTTAACCCCAGCATTGAAGCAAAAAAATGACATTTCGCGCTAAAATTTAATAACAAATTGTCTCATGTCAAAACTGTCAGACCGATTTGGATCGGATTTTGGGATTTCGTTTTGTAATACTTTAAAGTACTTACGTCTACATTTATAGTACAATTGGACAATTTCTTACCTGTCAATTGAACGCTACAAAATTATCTCGATTTTCATCACTTTTACACGCTGTTTTGGTTATCTAGCAACAAAAATGTGATACGCGCGGATATCAAAACAATTATTCTGTCTTATAGTGGATTTCATAACAAACAATTTTACCAGTAATGCTTTTTTTCTGTAAACTGCATATTTAAAAAGTTATATTGGAATATGTGAGAAAATCCACGTAATTTTTGAGTATTTTTGTAGTTTTTAATTTTTCCTGCAAATAGCACAACTTTTTTCCTGGCGCAAACTTATATTTTCATTGTATATTATTTTTGACCGATTTTTAATAATTTTTACTAAGGTTTTGAGCTTAATTCTCTTGGATTATACTGTAAGCACTAAAATGCAGTACCATGGAATTCAAATGTTTTTAAAAAGTATCACAATGCTTTCTGAAATTGTTTGCGAAGCACAGTAATCAATACTGATATAATTTCTTTCCTATTATTTCAGCTGTGCCACTTGGGCAAATGCCTACTTTGGAGCACAATGGTAAAGTAGCTCATCAAAGTGTGGCCATTTCCAGATACTTGGCAAAACAAGTGAAGTTGGTTGGAAAAGATGATTGGGAAGATTTAGAAATCGATGCTATCGTTGACACGTTCACCGACTTGCGTACAAGTAAGTTATATTTACAGTCAGCTCATATAAACTTAAGTTTCTATCTTGGTAAGTTTACCACCCTAATGGCATTGACGTCAACGAAATTATTTTTTTTTTTAATTTCACATTATACGAAGTCTTCAATTTCTCTCACTACTTTTATTAAAAAAAGATTTTCGATTTGTCTTTCCGTTCAAAAAATATAAAATGATATGTATGTAGGTATGGAGAAAAATACTGGTTCGATCAAGTTTGTTACTGATTTTATCAGCCTTGCCATGGAAAACAAGATTTTCAATATTCACCTTTAGCGATTTTATTTATTGTATATTTTCTCTCGTGTGTAATTACCATTACAGCAATTTATACCAAAATATTTCGTTAAAAGTGATTTTAAATTAAAATTGTTTTATCAAAAGTGTAAAGTAAAAGCATAATATGTCATTGTTACATATTTATCAATTGATTATTGTGTTGGAATGTAATAGCCATAGTTTTCCCAGAATTTAATCTATTCAAGGCATTTTTAATATAAACATTAATTCAGATATGGTTGCTATTTCAAAATATAAATTCAGTTATAAACCATATAAATAGCATTGGTTGAATAGTTTAATAAAACATTCATTAAATAAATATACAGGGTGTCCGAGGAAATGTACGAACTTTAAGGGGATGTTATTGAGGTAAAAGTAAGCAAGCAGTTGTTATATGGCTGACATAGGAATTTTTTGCAGAAAAAGCAATTTACTTTCTTATATGTAACATTTCAAGAACATGCATTGATGGTCTGACAAAATTTGATACAATTATATAGAGTTAGTATGTACCTATACCATGCATTTTATTTTTACGTTGTCAGTGCCGTAGACATGGGGTACCAACCCATTTTGTAAAGCGTAACTTCTTCTCCGATGACTTTTTTTAAGCATTTATGCAATATTAATCTTCAAAGTTCTGTTTCTGTCTTTAATTTGTGCTAACAACAATGTTAGACCATTTTTCATGGCTCATACCATCCGAACAAGGTTTATATTTTATTCCTTATTTTTATCTGAGGAAAGTCAACTTAAATTTTGTGTACCATCTCGTGGGACGCTCTATATCAACAGATCAGTCATTCAGGTCTAAGTTAAAAAATATGTTTCATATTGTCTCCTCTTTGAATATTGTTAATATAACTGAATTGTTTACTTACTTTCTGTTTTTATGATGTATTTGTATTGACAATATAAGAATAACAAACACCATTGTACAGTGATAATAAAAGAAAACAGTTGATAACAGTAGTTGCAAAATTATGTAGTCTATGTATTTGTTGTGATTGAAAGTGTATATATATTTTTACTTGAAAATAACTTGAATATCAGCGATGATTACGAAACAATGTCTCTTAAATTCCAACTAGGTATAAGAAAGACGTTGCGACATACATCCAATTTTACACTAAATTTACTGGCGCATAAATATACAAATATGTGCCTGTAAAAGAGGAATGTTATGGATGGACATAATTCGATTTGGTTTAACGGTAACATTATTAAAGAAGTCAAAAAATGATTATAGCTGTTTTAAAGAAATTGGAACTGAACTTAAATATAGCATTACTTTGGCTTTTTAAATTCAACTGATTGTGAGAAAGACCCGTCCTCCATTCCATCCAGTACGAGTCATCGTTTTTCTCTAATCAAAATCGAAATAGCAGTAGACTCACTTTGACCTCAGTTGTCTCTTAATATATATTTAAATTCAAGGATTATCCACAAACATGCAAAGAGCCGCAAATATCTTCCGTACTAAAAGTTTCAAAAGCGACATAGGTTCATAAACATTACATTGTTTTAATTTAGAAAAATTATCTCCATTCCAATACGAATCAATGGTCATACTTCAAATTTTATCGAGAAAAACAATTTTATTGCTGAAGCTTTGGATATGGGAAATCAGGTTGATGTTGTATATACCGATTTTTCTGCATTCCAGAACAACTGAAATTAGAATTCTATTGTCTTTGTTTAAATCATATTTCACTAGTAGAGGGTATCCCCAAATTAATGCAACAAAATTTGGTCATAGATTCTTAAGACAAATTTAGGGGACCCGTATTTTTTCTTTTTGCCAAGTAGTACCCTCTTTCGGAGTTACAGCCCCTGAAATCTGCCCCTAAGAATAGTCTTTTATATCTCAGAATTCTCTTATACGAGAATCACTTTTTGGTACACAGGGGTTTTATGACATGTGGAATCTGATAGTGCTACGCTTTTTGGCGGGGAACCCCCTTAAGATACTTTTTCGTGGGCCCTCTTGTCTTTGGAACCAAAAATTTGGTCGTAAATTTAATTTCTTAAAAATTATTAGTTAGCTAGAAAGCCATTCAATTTAGAAACTTTTCATCTCTTGATATTTTTTTCGTAAAACGCAATGTTTTTGAGGAAACTGTCGATTCACGATATGCATTCTATCACATTTTGACATTTTTCTCGAAAAAATTGCGTTTTACGAAAAAAGTATCACGACAAAAACATTCTAAATTTAATGGCTTTCTAGCGGACTAGTAATATTTAAGAAATTTAAATATGTGACCAATTTTTTTTTACTCCAAAGACAAAGGGGCCTACGAAAAATTGTCTTTAGGGGGTTCCCCGCCAAAACGCTCAGCACCATCAGTGATTCTCGTACAACAGGGTTCTGATATATAAAAAAAGTTTATTCTTAGGGGCGGATTTCAGGGGGCTGTAACTCCAAAAGAGGTCACTTGGCAAAAATTAAAAATATGTGTCCCCTAAAATTGTCTCAAGAATCTGTGACTAAATTTAGTTGCATTAATTTCGGGACACCCTGTGTATATCAATTTGTAGGTTATTGTGGTTTTGAATCAGATAAATTTCGTCAATCTTCAGGGGTTCTGCAAGGGTCATTTCAGGGACCACTGTATTTGTTAGTTTCATTAATGGTCTAATGGAATACCTCGATGTTGATTACATATTCTATGCGGACGACCTTAAGTTGTTTTTGAAAGTTAAATATTTTATTGATTATACTAGATTATAAAAATCTTTAGAACTTGAATAGTTGGTGTTGGAATAATAATTTACAAATGTTAAATATTATTTTGATTGTACTAGATTACAAAACAGTCTTCACAACTTGAATCGTTGGTGTTTAAATCTATAAATGTAAAATTATGTTCTGCAGTCGACGCAAAACTGCTGCATATTTCGATTTAATGTTCCTGAATCTTTTTTAAATAGAGTTACATAATTTATTGACGTTAATGTTACTTTCTGAACCTAAAATTTCTAAATGTAAAACGCAGCATTTGTGAATTGAAAACCAGAATGTGCATCAATTGTTTAAAGTTTCGTTTATAATTTTTATAATATTCAGTTAGAGAAAGTGGAAAAAGAGATTTCTGAAAATTTCATTAGCTATGGAGTTTATCCGTCTCTTGGTACTCCTCGATCACTATTGCTTTCTTATTTTAATTTTAAGTCTTTTTCGCATGCGAATTATATTTTCAATAATATTCCTTTTTGAAATTATTATTATCACTAAATTTTTATAATGAAATATTTCACAGATGTATTTTTTCCCAAAACTTTTCATAAGGGTTCTATGACTATTTAAAGATTGAGCGTGAAACACAGCTACGTCATTTACTTTGGTCTATAGGCTTCATACTTAGTATAGTACCGTTCCCTCATGATAAAAAGTTATTTACCGTCGCAGAAAATAAAAGTCCGTCGCAACGTTAGTAAAAGCTACTTTACAGTCCGCAATTCTTTCTGTAATGACTTGCAGCAAGCCCTTTCACTTGCAATACGTTTCCCGAAATTCTGACTCGCGGTTTGTTTTACAGTCAATTCGCAATTGCAATAGAAGTGATACCTACACTTCAAACCGAATGCACGCTACACTAACCCGTCTATCGAAATATAAACATTGCCAAGTAACCAAAACCTTTAAAATAAAGATTTCGGTCACACATATTTCTACAAGTCTTAATTACAACCATTCTAAAGTTTCAGTTAACACATTTGAATTTGATAGTTCAGCCTAGGAACTTTTATATAGGTGGTAACCATACAGATTACTAAATTATTCCCTAGAATTGCAGAAAAGCTGCAAAACCGATATTCCAAATGTGCAAGAGTCTTTCAGATAAGACAACTTTTGCAATACGCTGCTGCTTAGTGCGCATGCCTACGTACAGGAGACTTGCAACTCGCAGAAAGAATTGCAGACTGTAAAGCCGCTTTAATACATCTACCAAATGGTTAACAAACGTGGTGCATTTATTAAAGAAATTAATACTCATTTCAGAGATTGGTCTTTACCACTACGAGCAAAATGAAAAGGTGAAGGAAGAGAAGGCAGGTCCTTTATTTAATGAAATTATTCCATTCTATATGGAGAAATTAGATGCTGTAGCCAAGAAAAATAACGGTTACCTTGCTGTTGGTCGGGTAAGTATCTTGAAATTGAGTACACACTATAGGCCAGAGCGGATATGTCGAAATATCCCATATCTTGGATGTAAGAGGGGGCAAGCTAATTTTTGCTGGAATACCTTCGGTACATCTCGCATAATAAAAGTGTAGATCCCTAGATCTGGGCCAGGTCCGGAACATTTTCAAAATTGCAAAAATGTTTTTAATAATAATTATTTTATCTGAGTTTTTTACTTATATCTTGGAACATATACATTTTGGAAGAATATTGAAATGGAAAAAGGTTTTAGAATTGAATTTTGCACAATATACTGCAAGTTAAAAATGTTTAAATTTATTACCGATGTTGCAAAATAACAATAACTGATGAGAAAAAGGCAAAATAATCAAGTTTTTTGGATAATTTTTTTTAAATATTTTAATTGGTCCGAGGGCATTCTAATTTTGGTAAAAAAAACTTTAGAGTATAATAAAACAACACACAAATTTCATTAAAATCGGTTCAATAGTTTTGAAAATTTTTTTTCGAATTTTCAAAATGTTGCACAGCCTCAAATAAAGTATCTAGATACTTGAAAATTTTTTCACATAGAAAAGACCGCTCAGCCTTTCAAATAGTTTTTGGAAAACTGAAATCGTTTGATTAGGACGGCCACCGTAAAGTTTTAAAGTTAACACTTTTTTTTTGTTTTTAAACAATTAGGTTACATTTATCAATTTGCAATTTCGTTTTTTTCAATTGCCGTTTAAAAGTAAAACGCAGTTATAATTTGAATATTTTTTTCTATTTGCAGCTGACCTGGGCCGACCTCTTCTTCGTTTCCATGTTGGATTACATTAATTTCATGGCGAAGAAGGACATAATTGCTGATTCTCCCAATTTGCAAATCGTCAAAGAAAATGTTTTGAAGATACCCAATATCAAGGCTTGGATAGAAAAGCGACCCAAAGATAATTTATAAACAATTTCCTATATTTCTATTTTTTTAATTACATTGTATTCTGAATTCCTATGATTTATTAAACAATAAAAAAATAAAAAAGTATTTATTTTGTGTTTGCACATGTATGGATGCAGTTAAATGATGAAACACAAATGGTACCTTAATAATTTTGAGTCTAGAATATGAGAATACGGTAGGGCAATCGTTGCAAGTTACAGGGTGTTTCGAGAAACATCACAAATATGCAGATATCTCGAGAGAAATTTGACGTAGTATTAAAGTTGGAGGCGGCAACTTAAGCATATGGTTGAAAACTAAATCTGCGTACAATTATGTCAATCGGTGGCGGATGCACTAGGAGACACCATCATCTTATTATATGTGGGTAGAAAATACCAAGCGTCTTGAATATTGCAGTTTCACAGAAAAAAAAAGTTGGGTATACTTTTTATGCGACATATATTTTTCGTAGTAATTTGGCCTCCTGAACACGAATCTGGCGTCAGAATTGGCCCATCACATCACAATTTTTTCCTAACCTCAAAAAACTTGTGAAAAATAGTGAAAATTGATGAAAATTTACTGGGAAAATTTGGAAAAAAATTTATTTTCACATCAAATAGTACATTTTTATGTAAAAGACTCTGCTGAATTCAAATCCACTGTCAGAATTGAGCTAGAACGTGTGGTTTTTTTTCTAACCTCAAAAAACCGAGCAGGAATCGCTATTTTCAAATTCTGAGAGGATTTTGATCAGATTTTGTATAAAGAGGTTTTTTGGGTCGCTGATCACGAATATGAATTCACATTGTAAAAATTCAAGATGGCTGATCCAATATGGCGGGTGTACTTTTTTGAAATCCACCGATTTCAGTAAAATCTGGCATCATAAGGATTGCTGGTTGATCTCACCTACATTAATCACACATCTGGAGCCAGATTTTCATAAATCAAAAAATTTTTTTGGATAAGTTCTGAATCACCCTGTATAGATCCACTTCTTACTTGTGGAAGGGCGAAATGGGCGGTGACTATTAGACGCCTTCATTATAGCCATCTTTCTCTATCGCACGGATTTCTATGACTCTTTATCGCTCTCACGTAACGGCTGATGAACCATGGGGACTTTCCGACCCTGTATATCGATTTACTGCACAGGATTAATAGATTCGAATCGTTTCGATTCAGATAAAATTATACAATTCCATTAATCGATACGAATCGATATGTTTATTGAAGGTTATTTTTAATCATAGAACGTGTTGATAATAGATCACAGAAAAGGACCTCCTACATAACCAAATTTATATAAATTCGTCCCCGATAAAGCTACAATTTGATGTTAGTTATTTCATTATTAAGCTATGTTATCGAAAGTCCGCTGACAGCATATTTCCCTCATTAATTGCAATACTGTAAGAATTGGGTATGAAATGCGCAGTTAACATTCACATATCTCTTGTAATTTTGTTCAATAAGAATAATATGTCGCAAGTGTTCAACCTTTTCAGTGATTATCTACTTGTTAAATCAATTTAAAAAGAATTGGTAGATTGTCTGACCTCTTCAAATTCGTTTATGGCGGGTTTTAGAGCCTGTTATTTTAATAATAAACGTATTTGGTTTGCACCAATCAACACATCACGATATAAATTGTCCCGTGAACCTACTGAATTAGAATATAACGAAAGTTTCCGTGGGGGGCTTACGATAATAGAGCAAGCGACAATTTTAAATAAAATCAGGTACTAATCATTTATATTAATCGTTAATATTACAGCTATATTAAAAATTATTATTGAAATAAATAGTATATTTAGTTATTTATTTATTTATTAAACATTTTTTGTATCTACATATAGGTATAACCTAAATGATACAATTAATGAAAGAATACAATAAAACAAAAATTGTAAAACATGTAATAAAAAATATTCATGACCACTTTTAAATCGTGAAAATCATTCGTATATAAGATTGTGCACGACCCAGAACTTGTTACGTTTCCGTTTTTCTACTAATATATCTTCTTCTTCTTCGTAGTGGTTGGTCCTAATAAGTCCCATAGCACCGCGGCCTAATTAGGCCTATTGTGCGTACCACTATTAGTCCTATTCAGCAAGTAGATTTGTCCTTTTAACAAAGTCCAAAAGCTTCATTGCTTACATTTCTCTCAGTTTCTTGGGTTCCAAATAAGGTCTCCCCAGGAGCGCCATTCTACTACGTGTAAATGTCGGGCACTCGCCCAGGATATGCAGAGAAGTTTCATCCGCCGATTCACATCCTCGGCAGACCGGACTGTCTACAGGCTTTGGCTTATATAGATGTTTCCTAAAGTGACAGTGTCCCGTTATGGGTCTTGTCACTCTCCTGAGCCGGATTTTGTTCAAGCTCAGTAAATCTACTAATATACAGGGTCGGAAAGTCCCCATGGTTCATCGGCCGTTACGCCATCTTTCTCTATCGCACAGATTTCTACGACTTACTTTATCGCTCTCACGTAACGGCGGATGAACCATGGGGATTTTCCGACCCTGTATACCTAATAATATATGTTCAATTTAATTCTAAATAAACAATATTGCATTGATTTTTTAAAACTGTTTGGTATAAAGAAGATGACTTGTGTCAAGTAGGGATAATAGGTATTTGATTTTTAAATATTTTTAGGTAGGTATGTACAAAACATGATCCGTGAAAATTAATTCATCAGTATCTTCATGGTTCGAGTTCCATTTAAAAAAAAAAAATCTGATAATTTTCTGTTTAAGAGAGGCAAAAGGCCAATTTCGTATGTGCAAATCCATTAAAAACCCCTTTAGCATATATGATTAGAAAAACGCTTTTCCTAGAGCAAATTGTACTACAACATAAACATAAATTATGTAATATTATGAGAAAATTTTAAATATGTTCACCCTGTACAGTGACTAATGCAGCAAGAGATATATTTTCATAATTATTTGTAGTTTACATCATTATTGATTAGACTTTTTATGATGACTAGAGGCAAATGGCAATATAACAAGACGCATTAGCATTATTGACAATAATGAGACTCCACATGTATTTATGTGAACTATCCGAAAAGCAATAAAAATATGTGCGTGGTATATAAAGCTAATTACTTCAGAGAGTATAATACATATACCATATATAGATTCATCGAATTGATGTACTTACCTGCATAAATAAATCTTTTTAATGAGGATCTTAACAAAAACTAGATACAAATACAAAATGTAGCTCATTGTATTCTATTCACATAGAAGCTCACGTAAGTATTTTTATTAGTGTCGTTATTCGATGAGCATCGATTGTTGTTATTTAAGTTTTACTTTTAAAGATTTGAATTAAATAGTACCATTTTTCTTGTACCCAATTTAAGATGGTTATATTTTCTCAAATCGAATTGGTCCATTTGTATTTATATGTTTTTTAATATTCAATCACACTAGTGTATTTTACAGCAAGAGATGAAAATAGGATTTTTTTGTGAGACTTAGGACTAGTTCATAAATCTTGAACCTACATATTATTTTGATTATATTCAAAGTAACATAAAATGAACTACAATATAGTTACTACTTTTAATTATTTATTGTACTAGACTTAAGAACAATATTTTATCGACGATAATACACTCACAGACAAAAATATTGCATATTTTATTTTAGGTCATTATTTTTATTTTTTTTCCTTAAAACTTCCTGTGTTTTTTATTACTAGATATCTTGCACTAGAGCTCTTTATGTATATTATAATCAAATAAATTACTAATTGAAGATTGACAAGATTCGTAGAGGAACCAATAAAATAGCCTGATTTTGATAATCACATTTAATCAGAAAAAGTAAACAATAACAACAATATAGCAATACTCTAAGGCAACGTTATAAAAATTTTGTACTTACAATTTCCCCTTCTAGCTCTAGCGATAACCTGCAACTTCCTAGGCATGTTCCGCAGAAAATCTTTGATGATTTCTTGCGGAATTTGATTCCGTTCTTCCTTTGCAGCAATTCTTAATTCTGCAATTGAGTTAGGAACTGGAGATCATGCTCGTATATGTCGCTTCAGAGTGTCCAATATATGTTCTATAGGATTAGCATCAGGACTCGTTGGTGGTCACTCTAGAGTCTCAATGCCGACATCCTCAAGGTACTGGATCACTGTTCTAGCGGTGTGAGTTCGGGTATTAGCACAAAGTTATCGTACTCAATGAAGCTGACGTAAGGCTAAACATGCTCTTCAAGGATATTGCGTATGTACCAGTCACCATTCATTCTTAAATTTACCTCAACAAACTTCGTGCGACTCTTCATTAGTTGAATGCCTACCCAAAGCATAATGGAACCCCCACAAAGCTAATGTTTTGTGCAAGATTACATTCTGTATATTCGATCACGTCCACCTGGCTTCCATCGTTTCATCTGTGAAAAGGAATTTTTGCCCATTGATGTTCATTCCAATTATTAGAATGGGCTCTTGCAAATTGTAACCGACTGGTTTTGTGACGTGGGAGAAACCTAGAAACTCTAGCAGAACGTTTCAGGTTTAAAGCGACTTCTTATTACTGTTTTAACACTTACATTGTCTTGTAATCAGTAAGTCATTTTTCAGACGCGGAGCTAAGTGAGCCATTTCGCAAAGACTGAATTCTCAAATATTGGGCATCCCTTGGCGTTATACCTACATCTTTTATGTCAACCAGGCCGTCTTCAGTTTCATTGTATCGTTTTACTATGAGAGAAACAGTCGATTGATGAATATTCAATCTCCTGCAAAATCTTCATGTCTGTAACCTCGTTGGCTAAAATAACAATTTAACAGAAACTAACTCGCTTAAATGTGGCATCTCACTAACCAAAACTACCGAAACAAGAAATAAAGCACCAAAAGTGTCATTCGGACCACAAGAAACAAAACAGCAGTCTCTGTTAGTCGATAAGGCACACAATGATATATTTGTATTATAAAGGCTATGTCTAAAAAGTTTTTTATCCGAAATAAATCCGCATACTTTTAAAACACGTCAGTGCAGAGTATCTAGCAATAAAAAACCCAAAAAGTGATAAAATAAAAATAACGACTAAAAGAAATGTGCAATAATTTAGGTTTGTCTGTGAGAGTTTATTTTATTTATGTGCCTTATACTATATTTTTTCTGTAGCAAATTTTAAAAGAAAAACTTTAAGCAGTTCATTTACTAATTGAGTCATGTTTTAAAATTTGGAAACAGATTTGAAGAAAAACTTCCTTCAGGTATGGAAAGAGACATAAGGACCGTCCTAAATTTTGCGAATATTAAAAGAGATTTCTTTAATAATTCTCTAATTTTCTTTATAATCTGTTTAAATGCAAAAAGATTTCTACATTTGTTACTGTACCAATATCAGGATTCCTACCTTGAATATTGCGCGCCATCTTTCATACCATAGCGTAATTTGCAGAACACGATCAATATTGTAGTTAGAATTCTGAATGATTTCAAGCTGCCTAAGTAGATTCCTTCTTCTAATAAAAAAAAATAAATTCAAATGTTCTTTCAATAGTTTTCTGAAATATCGTACTATACATAATATCATTTCTTTTTTTAATTTCAATATAATACAGATATAAGGATATAGATAGAAAAACGTATTCAATAAATCTGTTTGGATATTATCAAAAAGCAGAAACAATATTTATCTACTCAAAGCATCGCGATTAGATAAATACTTTTTATTTGTACTGTAAATACTGTAAAAATATTAGGCAAAGATAAATTATTAAGTGACAATAGTGGTGGAGTGTACCTAATACTATATCTACAAAAAGTGCATCACTACAATGGGAACAAAGTAAATACAGTTTTACTAGAATGAACTGAAACCAAAAGGTGAGGAAGAACTGATATAACATGTACGATCCTTTTAAATTTCATACGTCAAATTCAAAGGAAACCATAATATTTTCTCTATCTAATTAAAATAATGCTAAATATTTGTTTGTATGTTTGTACAGGAATAAATCAATCAGAACTTAGAATTTTATACTTCAATAATTTAATTTCTAATTACATCATATTTTAATTTCTAGACATGTATCTATGAATGGACTGAAAATGTAGCTTTAATTTTTCATGTATATCTTTGATTTCTTCAATTATTGTTTTGAAAATATTATTTATTGTGACTTATTACTATTATAGGTACATGACTGTGACGTCACCCTGAAAATATAAAATTTAACTACAAAATTGTTAACAAATGCATTTTTTGTTGATGTCCCTCTTATAAAATAATTCACTATCTAAATAAGATATGATTTTTATCATAATCACAATTTTTATGTTTGTACTTGCCTTCTTATCTGAATTAAAAATTGTAAAGGATTGCATACAACCATCTCTTAAGGAAAATTAAAGTACAAATGTTGTTTTGGATTTAAGCTTTACATAAAAAATAGTTAATTTGTTATAAAAAATTGTCATTCTTACAGCTCGTACAATATTAATTATGTGATACTGTTTCTTTTATTTGTTGAATCAAATATATTGAATTAAATTAAGATGATTCATCCAAAGTATTATTATTTTTATTAGGTAATAATAAAGAGGAAATATTAATGCAATCAGCATTCATATTTACAAATTATGACTATGTCTAGATTCAATTATTCTTGAACATGAAATTAGTGACATGTTGATGAATGAACTGCAATAATTTTCTTGTATTTTTCTAAAGGGCACCTCGATAATAGTAGTTTAATATCTTCAAAATTACAAAAAATAGGTAGGTAATTAACTGTTAAACATTGTTTTATAGGATTTCAAATTAATTTATATTTTTTAGATTCCATCCCATTTTTGTAATTTAGTTTAAAAAATGCTAATGTTTTAGTCTACCCATATGGTAGATAAGAAGAAGAAACTTGAAAAACTCTTTAATTGTATTATAATGACGGGTGCTGATATAATTCAGTTATAAACAAAATTTACATTTTTCACAAAATATATAAAAAGGGAAATAGAATTTTCAACAACATGGTACAAAATTTGGAGACATACATAAATAAACAACATTGTCTCACGCCCAGCGATAGGTTATGTGAACTAATCCGGTCCAATCATGGACATTTTTAGGCAGAATTGGACTAGTTTATTTTTTTTGCTGGATCTAAATGCATGTATTTATAGAGCTCGGCTAAATGAATAATGTAATGTACTCAGCGCAAAATCAACAAAAATAGAAATATCTGACTTTGCGTTTTTGTTCCTGGAATCGAAGCTTCTTAAGATATGAATCTACACTCAAAGAAGAAGAGTAAGAAGAAGAAAGAAACCGTTTGCTGCTTTTCCTTTGTCTGTGTCTAACAATAAGAAATGAAGCTGTCTTTCCATTTTCAGTTAACACTACTGGTACAGTCTTTCCGAAGTCAGTTGAACATGTATAAAAACGTATAGCAATAAAATTTAATGAGTTTCATAAGCGTCCTTAAAAAAGATTTCTGCTAAAGGTAAAAAATTATAATAATTTGTATATAACGTGTAGAAAATTTCTATTATATGTTCATTTGACCAACAACATACTTTAATTATTTATGTCCTCAAACAATTTTATTATATTGATGGTAAATTTGGTTTTGTTCCGTTTTAAAATGTCTCCAAAATGCCATGTTGTAATAGTATTCGTAAACAAAATATTCCTCTTATTTCTTCCTTTCGCAATTGTAATACGAATGATTAATAGAAGGTGCCTATAATAAATTAAAATTACTTGAATTACAGCAAATTCCGCATTGCTGCACTGCATTGCTAGAGCATTTGTTGACAATTGAATTTATGGCTAGGTGGCCCAGTGCGGCTGCGTTTGCGCCACGTTTGTCCGCGCGCTCGTTCTTCAACTCGTCGATCAGACCTGTATATGGCTATGGCTAAATAAAAATGGGAACAAGATTTTCAAATACTTCAATGCCGACTTGCTGTGTCAGCGATCGGACCTGCCAACCTCTTGGTTCTTCAATTGAGATCGGAAAGACTTTAATATAGGAGAGTTGTAATAGGATCTGAGTTGTCGGGGTCTTTTAATTTCATCAAAATTAAATGGAACATTAGATGATGAAAATAAGCCTCAGATGAAGAGGATGTAAAAAATTATGAAAAATATTTTGGTTGAAGGAACAATTCGTTAAGAAACTATTAATATTCATAAGGTCACCAGTCCTTGCTATATCTTCGACAAACAAGTGTGAATAAAGAACTGTGTCATCTGCATAGGCCTGCACTTTACAATCAGAAACAGAATTTAAAATATCAGCGGTGTAAATTATAAAAAGCAATGGACACAAAATTGATCCCTGCGGTACACCTAACTTTATATTTAATTATTTACAACAATTTTTTGAAATCGACCACTTAAATAAGATGAGATAAGCTCTATAGCAGAGTGATCAAAACCATAGTATTTCATTATGGCACAAACTAATCCATGATTTATAGTGTCAAAGGCCTTTGAAAAATCCAGTAACACCAGAACACTAACCAACTCTTTGTCAAATGCTTCTAAAAGATCATTAGTAACAACAGTCAATGTTGTCAATATGTCAATATTTTAAACTACTGCGGCAAACCAGTACAAAAAAGAGTTCTACTTGCTAGTCATTAGTCTCTTTCCCTTATGTTTTATGTTAGTCACTATCTATTCAATGTCTATGGGAAAAAGATGATAATTACTAGAAATTCTTTGTAAACCAATTTTGTTATGTTTTTCATCTTTTTATTGTTATATAAAACAAATTCTCATACCTGCATGAAAAGGAAATATTATAGGTGAATTTGTAGAAAATATGTTAGTTTACTCTTTACGACTTACGCTATAAATTTTAGTAAATTCTAAGGAGCTTTGATATACGTTTTGATTTCCATACGACACTACTGGCAATAATGAGCAAGGTAATTGTGCAAGATGGGCTCATGTGGAAGGCCTTAGTGTCAATCCTGCGGGAGCAAGTAAAATGATTAAGTCCTTGCAAGTTCTCTTAACTTCCAAATGCAAAGCTAAGTGCATACAGAGAGCTATAACTCGCTCAAGCCCAGGGCGAGTTATTGTCCGTAAATATTCCATTTCGTAAATTTTGTGAAATTATTTATTTTTCTCAACATTCAACATGTAACAATTAAAACTGTTCTTAATAGAAGCAGAATGTATTTATTATATTTATTATATTTATTTACTGTAAAGTAAATTTTAATGACTTAAAAATATAACACAAAAAATTGTTTTCTTAGAGGATAAATGTCTCGATAAATAACATCAAGCCCTCCACTAGTTGTATCTTAATAGATCACAGTACATAATTACGGGTTTACAAACATTAATTTATCAGATCGGCCGTGGTGCGAAAAATCTCTACTGGCACTTCTTGTTACCCTGTACAACCATCAATAAAAGATAATGGTCGTGACTTTCACTTTTAACGATAATGCGCCAGCATTAAAAGTTGAAGAAGCTACTGTCTCGTTAAAGCATTTCTTAAGGAGGCCTGAACTGTTTAGAGAGCCTCCCCGATACATTTATTTTAACCAGCTCTTTGAACTTCTCTGGCATTGACTTTGCGCTGTCATATGTTATGGTCACGGGTAAAGTTATGATAAATAATGAAGCTTAAATCTTAGAGCAAGTCAGAAAATTTTTCATAAAATGAATATAAAGGCGCCCCTAAGCAATTCTTTTGGAAGGAAAATAATGAACTAATGTTGAATACAGGGTGATTCATAAACGGTGACCAAAAATGAAACCTCGTATTTTTTGGTGAATTTTAAGAGTAGATTTTCGTATAAAATTTTTATCTAGGGCGCTTCGTTAAAAAGATACAGGGTGTTAAACTTAAAAAAATATTTTTAATTTTTTTAAATAATTTAAAAACTACGAACTGAAATAATTTGTAATTGGGTAGGTACATTTATTTATGTAAACATTGTCCAAAATATGAGGCCTTTTTCTAAAATTTAGATGCTGCAGGGGCGGAAATACAGGGTATCGGTGGCATGTTTTTCTAAATAAAGTAGTACGCCACTACTTTACGTTAACAATCATGATATTCACGTCTCGATTTTCTGCAAATTACTACTCTCTTATGTCTTTCGAAAAAAGCTCGAGTTTCGAGTAAAACTTAAAAACAACCTGAAAACATTTTTACTTAAATGACATGACAAACACTAATCATTCGGTTATTTAATCGAATAAAGAAATTAATAACATTAGTCATTGTTTTAATGATTTTATTTGGGTAAGTGTTGTAATACAAGCTCTTTTTGTTTAGAACTTACTGGATTTAGCTTCAATTTTTTAATAACTTCCATTTTCTTTCCTTTTTAAACTGCGCCTGACACTGACAAATAAATAACAATTATAAGTAGCACTTGTTTCATCACTAGCTCATCACTAGTTTTGATTCTACCGCCTATTTACTGCTTTCTGATTGGACGGTACATTTGACAACATTGTTCCTCGTTTTTCACTTTCATGGCTCGATCCCTTTGTGTCGAGAATACAGTATGAATTTTGTGATAGAACAGTAGTAGAGCGGAATGAGGGAACGTTCCACAGGGAACATTCTATTCTCTCACCGTCAAGAATCGAGCTCCGTCTATTAATTTGTTCACTGTATACCCGCCGTTTAACAGTACCCTACAAAATGAAATCCAGTGGGTTGAGATCCGGCGTTTTCAGTTCATTTTTTAAGTTTTACTCGAAAATCAGGCTTTTTTCGAAAAACATAAGAGAGTAGTAATTTGTAGAAAATTGAAAGACGAATCCTGATTGTTACCGTAAAGCAGTGGCGTACTATTTTATTTAGAAAAATGTGCCACCGATACCCTGTATCTCCATCACTAGA